AAGTGTCCCGTTTTGCCCATAAGTCTTCCTAATTTCACAAGTTTTGCAACGTAACTTTTTAGATGTAAATAGCCGGCCGAGTTTGACATAAAAGAAAGTAAAGTGACCACCTCGGAATATTTAACGGCACAGATTCTTTGAATGAATGCTCGTTTTATTATTTCATAACTATATAATGTTCTACAATTTCAGTCTTTAGAATCTTCTTTGAAATACATAGATATGGTAATTATTGTCAATATTTTTTATGATTCATATGAAATGAATTTGAGATCTTGATTCTAAGTTTAACTAAATGGCTCTATCAAATGTGAGGGGGTGACGTAAACCTTATTATACGAGGCCTGTTATTGAAATGTAACTCGGGAGGGGTGTTTTGAAGTTACGACTTGTCCAATAAACCGTTCACAGGATTTTGCGAAACACCTTGTCAGTGAAAGGGTAAATAGAAGCGAACTGTGGCCCATGGATAAATGGAGAGGGGGGGGATAGAAGTATAAAGAAAAGGAAAACTGAGAAATTGAATAATTAGTGACATGGGTAATAATTATAAATAACATGGCACTTTATTGTAATTAATTACCCTCTGTATCAAAAGTATTTTCCTATTGAGAAAACCATTAGATAACTTTTGTATAAGGCAAACAAACTTAATGAAACTTTCCATGCATAATTTGAGGCATTTTTTATTATTTGAGGCATATAATACACCCTCTGTGAAAATTTAGAGACAATTGATTGATTTGTACTCAAAATATTACATACAGAACATAGCATATACCAAAAACACCAATGTGACTTTTTCCAAGTTTTTGACGTCAAACTTACCTAAGATTGCCAAACTGACCAAAATTAGGTTGCTCTGTAAAAGTATGCAGACAAAAGTCTTTATATATAAAATGCTAATTATGAGCAGAATGTGTTATTAAATATACAAAAAATGTACTCGGAATGTCCTCATACATTTTACTAACAGCCATGGACCATGTTGTACTCCACTTAACCCTTTCCCGACCAAAATTATTTGAGGAATTCAGAAATATGTTGTTACAATAAGCACTGCTATCCTTAATATATCAATGTTCGGTGCATTATGATTCAGAATTATTGCAATAAAATGGAAATATGATAGATTCTTTTGAATTAAATACCAAAAGTACATCAAGAATATTTAGAAGATAAAGCCCTGAAAAAATCATATTGACACATTAGTCACAAAATTATACTTATTGATGTCATTGGGCAGGAAAGGGGTAAATATTAAAGATCTAATAGCAAAGGTTTTGCAAAAATAAATCAATGCAGTGTAAAACAAATGTATGTATAATGAAGAAATAAATATTTAATGAAAAAAATAGATATGTGTTTGTAATATTGGTATTAACTTAAGATTAAAAAGTGTCACTATCTCTTTCATTTTTCAACAAATATAGGCTCACGTGACATATGACGCGGGGCAGTCAATTTTGATCTATCGTTGACCATATCAGTATCAAACTGCCGATATTTCAACCTCGTCTTGCGAGGCCATTTTTATTTGAAACATCTTAAATTTGGTGTCAAAATAAAGCTGGTCACGCCCACTTTCAGAGTTATCAATGAATCATTTACTACGACTACTATATTCATTTAGGAGGCGTGTAAAGTTAACCAATCAGAAAGACAATTGCTCCATATATGACAGTTCATTAACATATTCAGTGTTTACTATTGTTTTTCGCGTCATGACAACACGAGTAGTAACCAATCAAAATGCCGTATTTTATCACGTGAGTTCAGAGTGACATGCACGACATGTAAGTTTAGTCTGAGCTCAAGGAGGATTGGCTCCCAGGATCGAAACTCGATATTTTCCAACAATGAAAACGTCGAAATGTCGTTATTTTCTGAAATTAAAACCGACTATAAATTCAAAATAAACAGTTCAAAAGATTCGAACCAATATCTCGATCATTTCTTGTGAGTTTTGGAATTTTTCGTTTGGAAATAAGACCAAAATTCACGATTTAAATGTTGAAGTGAACAAAATGGCGGCTGTTTGAATTCGAATTTTGTATTACGACATACCCATATATGGGACAGAATATCGGTGGTGCACTCTGGGAGCCAATCCTCCTTGGTCTGAGCTGATCGCGATGTTGAATAATTTCTTCTCGGAATTTGTCCAGAGAAATCAGCGATTCTTAAGGTAGGATCTCCCATTTCTTCCTGTACAAGTTTTAACTTATCTCTATCGAATCCTAAAGTTTTGGATGAAGATATGAAGCATACGTTTAAAAACGAAGCGATTAATTTGACGATCTGATTTTGCAATTTGCAATGGCCAATTTACTGCAAGTCTGCGTGTATTTGACAAGAGATAGCGCCAAGTCTTGTATCCGAATGCTTGTTAAGCCACTCAAAAACAAGATCCATATTTTCTAAATTTGATAACTTTGCAGAGAGCCCGTTTTCATAACCTGTTTTCCGCGTCTAAATTCAAACTGAGTAGGATTATAAGATCGCTGGGATTCTCAGTCAATGGCAACGGGTCTTCATTCCAGAACGCACATTTTTTTAGTTGATTCTCCGTCATAGTACTTGTCTAAAGTCCATATCTGCTCTTTTACTGGCATACTTGGACATATTTCCCCTCCTTAAATTGTCCTCCTTAAATAACACCCTCTCGCCGATTTATATATAGCCATTTCCCAGAACCCGGGAGTCAGAATCGCTGATGTTTGCCATATTGGACATGTTGAAATATGTACTGTAATATCTGTAATACTAGGCATTGCCTGCTACGCGTAAGGGTCACGTGACTAGCTCGATACAGGAAAAATGGGGAATTTCGAAACAACAATTTTTGGGCACTTTTATTGCAAATTTCAGGTATTTATAAGTGTTTGTGGTATAAAATATAATCCACAGACATAAATGAACATCCAAACTACATATTTTATTACGTTTCGGAGCCTTTTTTGCTTTTAAAATGACATCTTTAAGGAAATATGGCATAACAATGAACAGTTAGGCAATACTGTTCTAAGACCCAAGTGTAAGGACTTTTGCATTGTTATTATATAGCTTTCAGTGACACCTTTATTTTATGAAATATACAACTCTCATGAACAGGATCATTTGTAAAGTCTATAACATATTCTGATTGCTCATTATTAGCATATTATATATAATTACCTTTGTCCACTTAGTTTTGCAGAGCAGCCTGACTTTGATCAGTTTGGCAATCTTAGGTAAGTTTGACGTCACAGGAAAAAGTCACATCGGCGTTTTTGGTATATGCTATGTTCTGTATGTAATATTTTGAGTAAAGATTAACCAATCGTCTTCAAAATTTCGGATAATGTGTATCATATGCCTCAAACTTTGTGTGGAAAGTTTCATTAAGTTTACTGGTCATTTACTAAAGTTCTTTGAAGTTTTCTTTAATAGGAAAATACTTTTTATACAGAGGGTATATACGATCGTATACCGTATAGGGGAGGGATAGAAGTAAAATAATTATATAATTGATAACTGGTATAATTAGTGACGCAGGTAATAATTATAAATAACATGACACTTTATTACAATTTATAAACGATCGTGTAGCGTTAATTATTCTATCTTCTCTTACAATCGCTCTTGATTTAGGAACAGATCGATATCGTTTTCAGTTAGCTTCGCCATTGTAAAACTGAAGCATATTTCCATTGTCGTGCTAATTCTCATAAGAAATATACGCACGTGCCTTATTGTTTCTTGAATTAGTCTGAAACTTATTATTAAGGTGATCTTTCCTTATGTTTTATTTCTATAGACTCACGCCCGGTGATCGTAAAAAATGATGGAGGGGGGGATTAGGCGATTTCGGCAAGAAACTCAACAAATTTGGAAGATTTATTTTTTCAAGAGAAAATTTTCAACTGAATTGCCAAATGAATAGGCGCAGTGCATGGCAAAATATGTTAGGTCATCTGGTATTTTTTGAACTGAAACCCTAAGATATAAAATCTATTAAAAATGTTTTTGCAATGAATCGGGCAACAATGGTTTACACGACCTGTAATAAATAGGTATAAGGGACGTTATTATCACAATACTAATGTCAATGCTCACTTTTTAAAGTTGGTGTCCATGCGTTATATAAAAAATAATCGAAACATACTAATTTGGGATGGAGGGGGGGTCGGATTGAGGGGGGATCACGTGTATATAAGACATGCTACTTGAATTTATAATTATGACTCCAAATTTTCCCATTTTTCATTCTCCAGAGATATAATATCCAGTTTCTTACTTGGGTACTGAGTTTAGTGTTTTCAAATACACGAGTTCTTGTGAATTTTTTCCATCGTAAAGATATATAAATCCCCCCCCTCCATCCAATCCCCCTCCATCCCAAATTAATTTATTTCGATTATTTTTTGTATAACGCATGGAAACAAACTTTAAAAAGTGAGCAATGTCATAAGTATTGTGATAATAACGTCCCTCATACCTCTTTATTTACCCTTTGCATTCGTTTGACTTCATTTCTTAAAAGAGAGCTTCGTCTTCAGTTAAACTAGACTCTGCACGCAGGGTACTCTTTATAACAGGTCGTGTAGACCATTGTTGCCCGATTTATTGCAAAAACATTGACTTTTGCACGTTTGTGATGATGCGCCTTTTTTATTAGATCTCATATCTTAGAAGGGTATCAGTTCAAAAGAAACTAGATGTCCTGACATATTTTGCCATGCACTGCGCTTATTCATTTGGCAATTCAGTTGTAAATTTTCTCTTGAAAAAATAAATCCTCCAAATTTGTTGAGTTTTCTTGCAGAAATCACCTAATCCCCCCTCCATCATTTTTTACGATCACCGGGCGTGAGACTTCCTATTACATATATTTCGTGAGAATAATATTTTTATTGATAATTGCTTTAAGTGATGCTTGCAGTAATTATATAAATGATAGTATGTTATCATAATTAATTCAATTATATAATCGTGTAGCGTTATTTTTCCAGTCTTGTATTACAGCCCCAAGAGAAGAAATTACACGTCGGGATCTGAGAAACATATGGTGTTTTCAGTTCAACTTTGGCACGTAAAATGAAGTGTTACATTTATTACATCAGTTTGGTCATTTTCGCAAGGCATACATTCGAAACCGGAGATATGTACTATACTGGTCCTTTTAAAGGCATACGGAAGCTTAATGGAGACGAAAACGTACGCGAAATCAGAGATCATACATCTCGACAACAAAATGCCAGTATCAAAACTGAAAATGAAATGGAGAAACAAACGTGTGATCAGAAAATGCGCACGTGTAAGGACAGATGCGGTGTGCCGAAATATACGAGCAGTCTCAGTGAGTTCTACTGCCAATGTGACGACAAATGTGCCCACTACCAAGATTGTTGTGCTGATTTTGAGAGCGAGTGTAGCATCAACTACAACAACACCAAATATGGTGAATTGACGAGTGGGGAAAGATCTAAATATGGTTGTATCAAAATAAGCCAAACAGAAATGGTATATATGGACCAAATGTGTGCAAGTGAGCATTTTGGGACTGATTTAGAAGAAAAGTGTAGGAACAGAAATACCCTGCTCAGTCTATTACCAGCATCTGACGTCGAAACAGGTATTTTATGTATATTGACGCAACTTAATACTGTTAAATCATGTAATTAAAACCTATACTCGTAAATTGTGAAACTTTTCATAACAATCAAAAATCGACTTTTCGTATAGATAACATATACGTGAAGGCATTACAAAATAATTGGTTTTGACGCTTATCTGAAAATTAACATTAACAAATTAATATCTCCTGAAAATCATTTTACAGTGCTTCTAAAATAACTGAGTCCCTTTTGGGGATATTTGATGGAGGGACGTATATGAAAAAATTGTAAGCCATTGCTCACCTATTTCAAATTTTGTTCCAGGTATACAGTATAGCAACATATTTTGCGCAAGATGTAACAATGTCAAGTCCCCTGTATTGTGGCAGACAAAGTACAGGTGTGATCGAGACGTATTGGATAAGTCGGATTTTCAGAACCCTGGACCAAATACCTTATCGAGAGTTATGAATTCCCCTTTTTGTTCTGTTGAGTATATCGCTCCTTCAAATGATAATCTACAACCGAGGCCATGCATACCAACTATCCATACATGTCCGGATGGAACAGATCGTTTGCTGGCCTATCGGTGTGCGAACTCTAACTTAGACCCTTATTCTACTTACAAACAACAATACCATGCCTATCATAACTGGTATTGCTTCATATGTACAGAACCTGAACGTCCATTGCATTCGTGTACCGTACGATTGAGTCAGATAAGTCAACGAAGCAGCCCCGACTTGTCCTTGTTTTCGTTTAAAATAATGGTGGATGTGACATCTGATAATGAAATAAGACTGAGGTCTCAAGCTGGTCATGGCATCGTTGGATTGGATGTTGAGGTAGGGTGTAACTCGGACAATCTTTGCAAGGCTTTAACTTGCCCAAAAGCGTATATACGAGCTGGGGGTAAATGCAAATTGGTAAGCACCATTGTTCCAGTACAAATCAACTGCTATCTCTCCATTGAACTAGAAGAGTATACATTTCATGTCATCAAAACTTACATCAAACAAATTTTTGATCCAGTTGGTTTGATTTTAATCCGAAATGGTCCTGATTATGATCAATTCACGTTCAATGCATCTTTCCCTGAGAACTACACATCGCCTCAGATTTACAAGAAAATGGCATCAGACTCTGAACGCATGAAAGAAAAAGCTGGAATTGCTTTCACACAGCTTATGAAGGACATAAATATCACGTATGATGTGTCGTTTATAAAACATAAGGTCAGTCATGTAACGGAAAAGGTGCCAAATAGTGGATCTCAAACCGGTTCCGGAATGGCATGGATGTTTTACATATTTTTGTTCATGAAAATATGTTAAGAGAACGAAAGCACGTGGACTCACATTGGCAGTTTTGTTCATTAAAACTAAAATTGTAATTAAAAAAGAATTGTCAGAGATGTTGTAATCAATTTCGTGTCTCAAATAGACAAAGCAGTTTAAGTTGCATAGAAAGTCGGAACAAAAACTTACAATGTCATTCCCAAAATTCATTTCGTTCGTTGTGTACCTTCACTACCTCTCTGACGTTGTTAAAATAGTTCTGAAATTCCCGGGGCACGATCTGAGAAAGCTTCAGAAATTAGTACGATCTGTAATACTTTAATCAACAACACCAAAACTTTGATATAACATAAATTATAACGTTTACAAATGATTTTACCACTACCCTGCGCGCAGTCTACTCATAAACTACCCTCTGCCTAGACTATATTACAGTCTAGCAGCCCCGCCTCAAAGATTGGTGCCTGTGACAGCCCAGGTAATAAATCATTCCAAAATTACCACGCCGACCCTTCCTCAACCAATCAGCGAAGTGGAATGGACGCATACTAAATACGATGCCATAGGAAATGACCATATAGAAAGTCGTCCGTATTTCGACGACAAATTCTGATTGGCTCGGTGAGATCAGAGATTTATTGTAAACTGAAAGAGTGAAGACGAAGCTCTCTTTTAAGAAGTGAAGTAGAACAAATGCAAAGGATATTTTACCATCGAAATTGGTAATCAATGCTGTATTTGATGTGTTTTATGTAAAAATCTCCGCGGAGCAACACATTGTAAAATGTCAAGATCGATAATCACTGGGTTCAATATTACTACACGTTTTCAAGATGGCGGTGTCAAAATTTTCTGAAAAGGCTTCAAATAATATTGTGTTAATTTCTGGCGAGTTCACCAACTTGTTAACTATTAACAATTGATAGAGAAATATGTAAGAAATTCAATTTTATACGAATATGGGGATGACGTCACTTCAAAACGAACTGCATAGCAACGGTGTTATAAACAGTTTCTGATCGGAAGTCCTTACAAATTCCTAAGTATTCACTTTTTAACAGTCTGTTACGAATTATTCGCAATCGCATAGCTACATGTCTATCTCGCTAAGCAGGGGGCTGCTCGTAATGATGTTCATTGTTTAATGAAAACACTCGGTAAAATCACGATTCCTCTGCACCATTAAATCATTCGGGTACCTATGTATAACCGAATGGTCCGAATCTCGTTCGTCCGAAACCTAACGATTGTCGATGTTGTTGTATTGTATTGTATATATTGTATTGTAATCTAAAATATATTTAATTTCAAAAGCGAAAGCACATTAGTTTAAAAGTACGATAAAATCCCGGGATAAAATAATCAACGGCAGATTTGTCATTTAAAACTAGCATTCATGTATAATTTGGTCATGTACACCATCCTTTAGTAAACGGGAAGATGACCTATCGGATGTCAAATTTTGGAATTATGAGAGTTGCTGACGTATTCTGACCTGACCCAAGTGTTCCGAACTTCCTATTTTCAAATACATTCGATAGATGTCTTCGTTGATATTCATAATTTTGGATTTAACTTATTCGAAAGATGATTCCCCTTGATCACTCTGGTTGACCTTTCTAACATATTTATGTAAGGAAACGTAGTTACGTCATATTAGACAGGATTTTTTTGTTCGAATGATTGCTCTTGTCAAGTCATTCTAGTTGATTCCAGGGAGGATTGGCTCCCAGAATCGAAGCTAGTCGATATTTTCCAACAATGAAAACGCCGAAATGTCGTTATTTTCTGAAATTATAACCGATTATAAATGCAGAATGAGCAGTTCAAAAGATTTGAACCAATATCTCGATCATTTCTTGTGAGTTTTGGAATTTTCCGTTAGGAAATAAGACCATAATTAACGATTCAAATGTTGAAGTGAACAAAATGGCGGCTGTTGGAATTCGAATTTTGTAGCACGACATCCATAAATATGGGACAGAATATCAATTGCTGGAATTACACATGGCGTTTTACAAAAGCTTCTTCGGTTTTAACCAGGTTTAAGAATTAGGTGTAATCACGATTGCGGTTTTACAAAAACGCTTTTCTAAAACTCCAATAACCCTTGTCACTAACATTTGCCCTAAACGAAATATTTGATACATTTGAAACATTTGATACATGATGGGACATCCGGTCACGCTGCTCTCTGGCTATATCTTAATTGAAAAATGGATGATGGTCGCCAGGTCACATCGAAATCAAGTGTTATCTTCAGAGAATTTGTACATATTTTTCTTTTACCTTTTTATTATGTTTTCTCATAATTAATAAAAGATAAATAAAAATTATGCAATGTCATGCATTTTTAATCAAATTATGGAAGATCAGTTTTGTCTTAGATGCAAAAAGAATACATTTACAGGAGATGTACACATACATGTATGCTGGATGTTATCCATAACTACATCGTTAAAAGTGCACGAAAGGCGTTTTAGAAAAAAACAGGTGTTATTCCAAAATATAGTTCCTAAGACGCTTTAGAAATGTTGGTGTAATCAGAATGGCGATTTTGTATTTGCGCCTTCCACTAAAACGTTTTAGCGGATTTTGTGGTGTAATTCCAGCAAATGTTGCACCCTGGGAGCCAATTCCTCTTTGCGTTTCGTCATATTACTGCCTAACCAATATGTTGTGATTTTTTAATTTTATTTCAGGTTCCAACCTCCATCACTAGTACTCCTCTCTTGTGTAACAAATGCTTTTTATACAGAATTGTCGACACATAACTCGTGATAAATAAAGCTGCATAAAATAATGTATGATTTGTTGTTCACAATGATTTTTAAGAGATATCTTGTGAATAAAAGTGGAATCAAATGACAAGCTGATAAAATAGCCAAAGTAGACACCTATCAAGTATATTATATAAAGATAAGTTAATTCGGAATATAGTCGGGTCACGTCAGAACCAGGTCAGGCAAAAAAACAAAGTTTGGTCTAATTTACTGTCTTGTAGCCAAAGAAGGATTGGATCAAAAACGCATTAATATATTGATGACTTCTTGTGTGTTTTAAAGATTTTTAATTATGTATTAACAACACCAAAAATCACGAAATCCTTCAAGATCAGATTCATTGTTGGAAAATATCGAGTTGCGTCTTTGGCCTCAAATTCCTCTTGCTTGTAGCTGATGAATATTAAACCACCTTGAGCATAAACAAGCTTTTAACGGTGATAGAAAATGGGACTTCCGGTTTGTTAAACTAATGAACGGGAGCAAGGAAGATTGGCTCCAAGGAAGAGGGAAAAACCCATGATTCAATTGACGACATACGATTTCCTCCTTCGCACACCTCCTTTTGTCGAAAACTTACCCTCCATCTTGGTTTTCAAAGTTTTCAAATTGACCTAGTTTTAAACCAATCAACGATCGACTCGCTTAACCAATCAGCGACGATGTCATCTCAATACATTACATTATAAGCGTATGTCATCTTTGCACCCTGGGGTTTCTCCCCCTCTTGCTCCCAAGGACGCAACTCGATATTTTCCAACACTGAGAATGTCGCAATTTTCTGAATTTATAATTGACTGTAAATTTATAATTATCAGTTTAAAAGATTCGAACCAATATTTCACTTCTTGTGTGGTAGAATATATCGTGTGTGATCGAGAATACTACGCTGTCGTTATCCCCCTCAGTTAGATACGTCTACAGCATACAATAAAGTACCATCGGAGGGTTATATCACAATTTAAAACAATCGGATATCAAGTGACACGATACATAATTAAACGATCATGTATAATCTAAAGCTGTGATGAGATGGTTATCGGTTATTTTATCTATAGGTTATTTTATTTTATACTCATGTTACTGTTAATTTGGCAAATTATGATTTCATAATTAACACTCCGTTAATCGTGAGATACTTAGTGAGACGCCACGTACGGTTTCTACAAATTGCTAGTTGCGAAAAGGAAACACACATCAAATTACATCATAACCCGCTGGCTAGTATCAAACGGAGGTAACGACCGTAACCTTCGCATCTAAGATGGTGGGCGGTAAGTGTCGGGCTAATATACAATTGTTGACCTCTCCAGAGGTCAACCGGCAAAATTGTATACCGAGACTGTAAACCGAGAAACTATACTGTTGACTGAGACCGAAGGTTTCTTTTTGTATTTTTGCTATACTTGTCGTCTAGCAAAGTCAAAATATCACTTGCATCAACGTTTACGAAATGTCCGTCTACCATGTTTTTTCTGTAAACATTATGACGTCATATTTCCCATAATTCACAAGTGTAGTACAGTAGCATAAGCGGTCAATAATCATGATATCCCATGATGCACAGGTGAGGTACGGGCAAAAATGTTGACCGCTAATTGACCAATCAGATGCGAGTATTTACACTGAGGTACTAACAATATGACATGTGTACTCTGGAGTGTGATAATTTGTTTTTATAATGTGGGCGAGCGCCACAGTTCAACGATTTCTTCCACATTTTGAAGGAAGGTTGTTACGCGGTATATGGCATACATTCATGGTTGCGCGGTATTTGTGATACGGGTGAATATGCCATACTCACCTGCGGTATATGGCATATTCCGCAGGTGAGTATGCGATATTCCGCAGTGAATATGCGATACATTGTTTTCAGTGAATACCCGATACTCACCTGCGGAATATGTCATACTAATTTGCGGAATATGCCATATACCGCAGGTGAATATGACATATACCGCAGGTCAAAACGTGATACAGAAAGTCTTGATTTGATTGGTTGCGAGAATAGACTCTAAATGTAAAACTACGCCGGATAGTTAGTGCGTCGAGTACTAATATATGAATCCTGGATTGACTGAGTACGTTTATTACGTGAGATTGGTGACTGATACTTCTGCTAAGTTAATATATTCGATACACAGAACTGTTGATTCAGTAATCATTATAATAATTTATTAAGTTTTACTAATCTAGTTCGTTCAATCGATGCAATTGACAATTGCGTACTTCCGTATCACGTTCTCATTGGTTTGTGTGTATGCCATATACTGCAGGTGAATCTGTCATACACCGCAAGTGAATATGCCATATTCGCTGCGGAATATGACATATTTTTGTATCGTGTTTACCGCGTAACAAAGGTAACTAGTATAGCAAAAATGTGAAACAATCAAGACAGTAGTAATATGAATATATAAACGTTTTCTATAATAAAAAATTATTGCTATATTACAGGGTGTCCAAGAAGTAACGTCAATGACCCTGACATTTTGTCATTTATGCTTCAAATGTCATGAAA